TCTCTCTCTCTCTCTCAAATAAATAAATAAAATCTTTAAAAAAAAAAAAAAGAAAGAAAGAAAGAAACTACCAGACTGTTTTCCAAAGAGGCTTTTTGCATTCCCACAGCAAAGTATAAAGGTTCCACTTTTTCCACATCTTTACCAAGACTCGTTAATTGTCTGATTATAGCCACCTTAGTGGGAATGAAGTGGTATTTCACTGTGGTTTTGATTTGCATCTTCCTAATGATTAGTGGTGTTGAGCATCTTTTCATGTGCTTATTGACCATTAGGGTATCTTTCTTTGATGAAATGTCTGTTCAAGTCCTTTGCCCATTTTTAAATCAAGTTCTTTGTTTTCTGTTGTTGAGTTGTGAGTTCTTCAAATATTTTGAGTATTAATCCCTCATCAGATATATGATTTGCAAATATTTTCTTCCATTGATAGGTTTCTTTTCACTCTTGATAGTATCTTTTTGTTGCATAAAAGTTTTTAATTTTGATGAAGTACAATTTAGGTTAATGTTTTTTTCTTTCGTTGCTTATGCTTTTGGTGTCCTATCCAAGAAATCATTGCCAGATCCAGTGTTGTGAAGCATTTCCCTTATGTTTTCTTTTTTTTTTTTTTTTAAGATTTTATTTATTTATTTGAGAGAGCAAGAGAAAGCACAAGTGGGGGTGGGAGAAGCAGACTCCCCACTGAGCAAGGAGCCCGATGTGGGACTCATCTCAGGACCCTGATCTATGACCTAAGCTGAAGGCAGAGGCTTAACTGAGCCGCCCAGGCACCCCTGTTTGCTTATTTTGAATATCCTTTTGAATTCATGGATTTAAACATCCTTTTATGTATTTTAATCCATTTATTTAATCAGTTGACTCTCAAATTGTCCCATCTTCAGTCACTAGCCTGAGTCCTTTTGCTGTGAGACTCCAGTAGTCTTCAGTAGCTTCCTTGCTTTCTGGATTTGGAATCTGCCATTTCTCTAAGGAGCCTTTTCATGAGAAACTGTCACTAGATACCATAGTCTAGACATAAGGAGGGCTCATGCTACTGGGTTGGCTATTACTTCTAAGCCTTTCAGTACAGAGAGCTAGGATTTTTTTTTTTTTTTAAGGATAAAGTTTATCTTTATGAGCTCCATATTGATAAGTCCATTTCAGAATCAGAATGCAAAGGTTTTTGTTTTGTTTTTTATAACAGCGATGCTGAGATAAAACAAAGGTAACGGGATGCCTGGGTGGTTCAGTTGGTTAAGCATCTGCCTTCAACTCAGGTCATGATCCCAGGGTCCTGGGATCAAGTCGCACATTGGGCTCCCTGCTCGCTAGG